CCCCGTTGCCCTTAGTTGAGCGGCCAGCGGGAGGTGGGTGGGATTCAGCGCCGTCTGTGTTTGTCGCTCAGAATTGATGGTTGTTTCTTGTGAAGATGGACTGCTCGCCTTGTGCCGACAAAATAGAAATGTATGCGCTGTCCTGGCAACAAGTAGAGCCCTGTATGCTTTATAAAGGCGGACGAGTTGATGGCACCATCATCGTGATCGGAGGATTTTTCCATCTGAGAAGCAAGGCACAAAGAGTTTCCTTATAAATAAGCTGAGGGCGTTCAGTAAAGTTTTTAATTCTAAGACAAGAGAGGGCGATACTTTTTATCAGTCCACTAAAAATACTCTAATACAGTATCTCTCGCAGACGGGCTGCTTTCTCACCCCTCGGGAGTCCACTAGGCTGAGCGGTGCAAAAGAAACAAAAGTGTGAAAACCCGTGGTCAGATATGTGGACCAAGGGAATCTTTTTTTTTTTTAAATCCTTACACCTTTCCTCTTGCAAGGAGCGTTTTTTACACTTACTACTTCAGCATCCAGTTATTATTGCACTTGCCTAGCTACCCTTTCCTTTTTCTGCCTGCCCAACCCTCCCCCCCCAAAAAACTGGGAACCTGTGGGAGCCACAGTGTCCTAACTGTAGGTAGAAGAACTGTATCTTTCTATTGTCATTCAATTGTCTGATTTTTTTAAACAATTAAATGATTTTTTCCCTAAGTTGGCATGCCTGATAATGCTGTTGTACAGCTGGAATCACTAATCCTTCTTTAGATTTTAATTTTCATGGAATCATGAAGTTGGAAGTGGCCTATAAGGCTATCAATGCAAAAAAAAAAAAAAAACAGATCAAAAGATATCTGCCAGGTAGTTTCTAAATTTCTCTTCAATGCCTCCAGTGTTGGAGCACTCACTACCTCTTGAGGTAATTGGTTCCAATGCCATACTACTCTAACAGTTAGGAAGTTTTTCTTGAAATTCTACAGAAATGTGGCTTTCTGTAACTTGAGCCCATTGTTGAATGTCCTGCACGCTGGGATGATTGAGAACAAATCCTGCCCCTCCTGTGTATGACAGTTTTTCAAATATTTGAAAAGTGCTATCATATCTGCCCTCAGTTGTCTTTTCTCAAGGCTAAAAGCACCCAGTTTTTTCAGCTGCTCTTCATAAGGTTTGGCTTCCAGCCCCTTGATAATCATTCTTGAAGTGTGGTGTTCAGAACTGGAAACACTACACAAGATGAGACCAAACCAGTGCTGAATCAGTCAGCAATTTTATTTGAGATTTCTTTAAAGAAAAAAAAATCAAATTCCATCATAAATTGCAAAGTAATTCCTTGTCATTGTTTTCATTTTATGTGCCTGGAGTTTGGAATAGAAATATGAATTTTGACAGTACATTCATCTGTATAGTTTATATTCTGCCTGATGTAGATATTCCATAAAAACATTACTTCTAGAAAAACATCTACTTCTGCTTCGTTGTCTACACAAAAGCCTTTGACTGTGTGGACCACAACAAACTATGGCAAGTTCTTAAAGAAATGGGAGTGCCTCACCACCTTATCCATCTCCTGAGAAAACTGTATGTGGGACAGGAAGCGACAGTTAGAACTGGATATGGAACAACTGATTGGTTCAAAATTGGGAAAGGAGTACAACAAGGCTGTATACTGTCTCCCTGCTTATTTAACATATGCAGAATACATCATGAGAAAGGCTGGACTGGAAGAATCCCTAACCGGAATTAAGATTGCCGGAAGAAATAACAACTATCTCAGATATGCAGATGATACCATTCTGATGGCAGAAAGTGGGGAGGGATTAAAGAACCTCATAATGAGGGTGAAAGAGGAGAGTGCAAAAAACGGCCTGAAACTCAACTTAAAAAAAACAACAACCTAAGATCATGGCCGCTGATGCCATGACCTCCTGGCAAATAGAAGATATGGAGGCAGTGACATATTTTACCTTATCTCAGATATGCAGATGATACCATTCTGATGGCAGAAAGTGGGGAGGGATTAAAGAACCTCATAATGAGGGTGAAAGAGGAGAGTGCAAAAAACGGCCTGAAACTCAACTTAAAAAAAACAACAACCTAAGATCATGGCCGCTGATGCCATGACCTCCTGGCAAATAGAAGATATGGAGGCAGTGACATATTTTACCTTCTTGGGGTCCATGATCACTGCAGATGACGACAGCAGTCACAAAATTAAAAGACGCTTGCTTCTTGGGAGGAAAGCGATGACAAGCCTAGACAGCATCTTAAAAAGCAGAGACATCACCTATGGGTTTTCCAATAGCAATGTATGGCAGTGAGAGCTGGACCGTAATGAAAGCTGACTGCAGAAGAATTGATGCTTTTGAATTGTGGTGCTGGAGGAGACTCTTGAGAGCCCCCTGGACTGCAAAGAGAACAAACCTATCCATTTTGAAGGAAATCAACCCTGAATGTTCACTGGAAGGACAGATCCTGAGACTTCAATGCTTTGGCCATCTCATGAGAAGAGAAGACTCCCTGGAAAAGCATCTGATGTTGGGAAAGTTTGAAAGCAAGAGGAGAAGGGGACAACAGAGGATGAGGTGGTTGGACAGTGTCACCAAAGCTACCAACATGAATTTGACCCAACTCTGTGAGGCAATGGAAGAGAGGAGGGCTTTGCGTGCTGTGGTCCATGGGGTCACAAAGAGTCGGACATGACTTAACGACTAAACAACAACAATGTAGATAATTTTAATGTTTCCTATTCTTGCAGGTTCTTAAGCTATATTTTAAAGAATGTGTATTTTCTATATATTGTATATTTTTTGTTACATGAACGCCAAGCTGTTTAAAATTTGAGTGTGCAGTGGAAATTGTTGCCTCTCTTTGAAGATTAATTTGTTTTTCCTTTGTCATATTTAAATGAAATAATTTTAATTTTGTGTAAATTTGAAATTTTGTGTATTGTCCAACTATAGCTAATATTTTATTTGATTGAAATAGTGTTTTTATCATTTCCTAAAAGACAACATGTTATCTGGATATTTATTTACTGTTTAGTTCCATTTTTAAATTCCTTTTACCATTATATTTTGCCTAATCATATATGCTAATGATTTGATTACCACTGTGAACAGTTGTGGGGTTTGAAGGCATCCTTGTCTTACTCCTTTCCTACTAATGTCAGAATTATTTCAAATATGTCTTAGAAATTGTTGTTAGTCTCTTTTTCTGAAAATTCATGCCGAAGCCTTCTCTCTTGGATCTTAGTTTTGTTGCTTAGTTGGTAAGGAGTAATAGGTTAGTGGAAGAATTTGTCCATTATGTGTTCCAGATTGAACTATTAACATTTTTATTTGAGGTATCTAGATGGCTAGACATGTCCCTGTTTGAAACAGAGCACTGCTGTCCAACAGAGAAGTTGATGCTGAGAGAAAAGAATCAGTGGTCTGGCTTGATGCAAGAGAGCTCCTTGCATCTTCATGGCTTTGGCCTCTTCTACTTGGCTCTACTTCCTTTGTTCAGCCACTTTGACACACTTTCCCACGTTTACTATTGGCTGTTTTATTTTCCAAGGGGCCTCTGTCACTGTGGTGCCAGATCCTTGCTTTTGACTTTTAATCACTGAATGAGTGCTGTGACAAATCAGTTATTTGACATAAAACCAATATCTTTAGTTAATTCTTTGGCCTTGAGATATCATGGTATTTGGGCGATGTTGAACACCACTCCATTATGACAGGACAGTGAGTGCTGATGGGAGTAGTTAATGCTTCCTGTTCCCCACCTTATAAATAAGAGTGTGTTTCCTTTGTGAATGGAGAAGGATGTATTTAAGGACTTGTGCTATTTCACTTTTTTGGGAGAGGGTAATGTTGAGAATGGTTGTCCTTACTGTGGTGAATAGAGAGCAGTAGTGAAACTGTCTTCTATCCTGCTATTGTTGGCGCCTTTCTCCTGGGAATGTTTTGTACTTGTATGTATTGTAACAATTACATTACTGTAATATGCCCAGGATTTTTAAGATAAACAGTGGTACAGATACGTTTTAGAAGAACGATAAAAAGTAATTGAAAAGTAATTGGTTACTTCTTTGTATTTTCTATTTGCAGATGTATTCCATTGTAACCTGTGTTTTGTACATTGCTGACTAGTTACACTGTTAGTTAATTATCAGCTGAATATTGGGAAAATCTTCGGGGGTTGGATTTTATGGCCTTATAGACCGCTTTCAACTCCTTTATTCTATTTTTATATTTTTAATGCATATGGTAAATAAAATGTACTGTGTACTGCCATGAGTTCATCTGCACACATGCATGTAAGTATGTGGACCTGTATGTTCTAACCCAGGATAGGACAGGATTCCACTATGCTATATCTGTGTTTCTTTGATGCTGCAAAAGAACTTGTCAGTGCAGCTGCAGTGTACAACTTGAATTTCTTGTGCTAACACACAATACTGTAGATGATAAGTTATAGTACAGTGTGCTAAAGTGGCTGCAATACTGCATACTATATAGTACAGAATGAATTATTTCAATTTTATAAATGTTGTACTTCTTTTTAATAGACTTCTGTCTGCTGAGCCAAACTTCGTCGCTCTGTGTGATGCTTTACGGGTAACAGACAGCGTAAGAGTGGCAGCTTTGAAGTCCTATGAAAAAGTGTCTATGGATAGAGCTGTAGTGAGTATATGGATTCAGTTGCAGTAGTGTAATGGCAATTTATGTTAGCTCAACATATTACACTTTTAGTAAAAGAATAAGGCAGTGGGCAGAAGCCAACGTTGTCCAAGTGAAAGTCCTCTATTGCAGTTGTATAAATGGATTTTCTCTTCTCTGCATCTACCAGTGCTTGGTAAGGTTTCCAAGAATTCAGAACAGATTTTAAAGATACATGGAGCTGTGGGAATTACTGCTTCCTGATTGTGCAGACCATAAGTTGTGCTCTTTCATGTTTCTGGACTGCAACCCCCAGGCAGCTGTTCTCTGCCAGGGGAATTCTTGGAGAATTCTGGCAGCTGCAGTCCAATTCTGAAAAGTCCTGCCTGGGGGTTGCAGTCCAAAAACAACTCCACAAATTTTTGTTCTTTCTTCAGAACACGTCCAAAGAGCCCGAAAAACCCACAACAACCTCTTTCTTTCTTTCTTTCTTTCTTTCTTTCTTTCTTTCTTTCTTTCTTTCTTTCTTTCTTTCTTTCTTTCTTTCTTTCTATTCACATTCAGTGTTCACTCTAATTTTCAGTCCCAGTGGGCAAGATTCTGCCCCTCACATGCTTGACTTTCACCCCCATGCGGGGTTCTGTTGCAACCGGAACCAAAGGCTTTGGAATCGATTGCTGTGGATGCATGGATGAGGAGGAGCTCTGCGTGAAGGGGGGCAGAGTCATGCACGTGTGCACGCAGGAGCATACCTTAGAAACTTGTTCACATTCCAAAGTCAATATACAAAATCAAACAACTTCGTACATTTGCTGCTGAGTTTAGTACATTGTGATTTGAATTCCCCTGTGTTTTCCACAATGTATTTAATAAAACAGTTCCATGTTGCAAAGAAAGTATCCGGCCTGCTATTCCTTTTCACAGCCTAAGAGCATGTGTTAATTTTTATACCAGTACTGTCTACTGTATTCTTTTAAACAATTGGTTCCCAGCCTCGGGTCACCTAGGTGTTAATCGTCACTGTCATCTTAGAACTGCAGAGCTGGAAAGGATCCTATGTCAGGCCCCTGTCAAGTTGGCACAATGGGGAATGAAATTTCCAACCTCTGGCTCTGCAACTAGATACCGACTTACAGAAACCCCAGATAGCACAGCTATTGGTGAAAGCTCCTGTGAGTTGCAGTCCAAGAACACCTGGGTTGCCCAAGGTTGGGAACTACTGCTTTAAACCAAATCTCTACTGTCAACCCCTCCAGTGTCCTACTCTGCACTACCAATTCTAGCCATGCGGCCACCACTAGAAAAGATATTAGTTGCTTATGCAGCAGATATTCATTAGGACCCATAAAGATAGATAATACATACAAAGCTCCACAGACTCCAATGTTTTGATTGATTGTTTTTGAAATATGATCATCAATTTCCCTCATATGTTTTTACTTTTGGGCATTCCAAGCATAGGTTAGCTAATGTTCCTGTCTAGCTACACTTTCTCCAGCATGCTGGACAAATATGAACATTTATTTTAGCTGTGCAGGGCTTAAGTGCCCATCTCATGGCTGTTTTAGTCATTCTCCTTGTTCTGGGCTGAAATTGTTTTAAAGGGTTTTATTGCCCAGATTTTCTCCCGTTGCTGCTGTGTAATGCTAACTGAGAAGTCTGTTTCCCATGCTAGTTTGGCTCCTTGCATTCCTGTGTATCCTGTATCAACTCTCCAACTATTGTTGCACAGGACTGCAACAATAGATATTGTGCAGTGGAGTAAATCAACTCCACAAGGCAGTTCTAAAAATGGCGGCAGCCCAAGCAAGCAAACAAAAAAAGAAAACTGTACTTCAGATCAATACCAGATGTGGCACAGATGTAGCAGACAGTCTGCTCGTGCAGGATGTTTGGGCAAATCATTTTTGAGTTACCATTTTTGAAGTATAAAATTGTTGTATGCCTCCCTATGCATACACTGCTGATCTTTTCTGTTGCAGATTTAAAACAGATCAAATAAATTGAAAAGACCAATCTTGCTGATTTTGAAAGAAAATTGTTAATCCCAGTCAATGCAATCCAGACTGCAGGGGTTGAAATATTGACTCTGAAAAAAGCTGTTTCAAAGGGGAAAGATGTGACTTTTAAATAAACTCTTACCAGTGCTAATGGAGATCTGAAATTTGAGCCTGTCAGTCAGGATGAAACTAAATGACTCCCAATATGAGAACTTTTTAACTCCTTCTTGGTCAAAAAGCCATTAAAAAGAGGTTTCTGTGTAAAAATGTTTTTAAAGTTATTTTAAAAAGAATTCAGAAACTTGCTCATTTAAGCTATGAAATTACTGCTTTTTGCCTTGTGGCTGGGGATGGTCATACTTGGTGTTAGCAGAGCTTTAGTGCCTATTCCACCCATCCCTTCACTGTACAATTGTTTGGTACTAGTTAACTAGACTATCAGTAATACCTTAAGTGAGGTATTTCCTCTTCTTTTTTTCTCCTTTTTTCTATGGAGCAGACTGTGGAAATCTACTTTTTTTAACCTCAAATTCATTTAACAGTCCTTACCACGTTTAAAATTTATTGTTCCTTGGGTATAGCAGACTTGTTTGGAATAGAAAATATATATTTGGTAGTTTCTGCGCCTTAAAAGGTAAAGGTTAAGGTTCTCCTTGACAATTGTCCAGTCGTGTCTGACTCTAGGGGGTGGTGCTCATCCCCGTTTCCAGGCCATGGAGCCAGCGGTTGTCCGTAGACAGTTTCTGTGGTCACGTGGCCAGCGTGACTAGACACGGAATGCTGTTACCTTCCCACTGAAGTGGTACCTATTTATTTACTTGCAGTTTTACATGCTTTCGAACTGCTAGGTTGGCAAGAGCTGGGACAAGTGACAAGAGCTCACTCTGTTGCGTGGATTCAAACTGCTGGTCTTCCGACCTTGCAGCCCAGAGGCTTTTTGTGGTTTAACCTGCAGCGCCACCACGTCTGCGCCTTAGTTGCTGCTTAATACCCTAGCATGGAAATTTTTAATTTACAGTGGTGCCCCGCATAGCGACGTTAATCCGTTGCGGAAAAAACGTCGCCATCCGGATTCCTCGCTATGCGGGGCAAAAAACCCCATAGGAACGCATTAAAACACGTTTAATGCGTTCCTGTGGGGGGAACCTCCCCCCTATCCATCCGGCCGCCATTTTCGCCGCCCGGTAAGCGAGGAAACCGCGCAAAAACAATGCATGTGGCCATTTTGGAACAGCCGATCAGCTGTTTTTAGAACATCGCAATGCGATTTTCGCCCATTCAGAACATCGCAATGCGATCGCTTTTGTGATTGCAAAATCCGCATCGCTATGCGGATTCGTTGTTAAACGGGGCGCTCGCTATGCGGGGCACCACTGTAGTTCCTTTTTGTGTTTTGACCCATCTGATTATGGATTTATAATTTTTTTGTATGAGTTGCTGTATCTGCTTTCTTATTTTTATACTTAGGTATTTAATGTAAGAATAGGCAGTTCCAATCTTAGTGGATTTTTGGATTTCTTTTTGCTCTGCTAGCCCAAGAGTTTAGACTTAAAAGGTTTATTAGGAATTTTGTGAAATTTTTGAAACCAGCTTAGGTGTTTTTGTAACTTTCTCATTAAGTTCTGTGGTTGTGTTAAGGAATAAAAGACTATCATCTGCATATCGTTTGATTTTGTGAGTCCCACCAAATTTTTGTCCCTTCAATTTCATTTTCATTTCTTATTCTTGAGGCTAGGGGCTCCAATGATGTCATAAACAAAATGGGTGATAGAAGGCAGCCTTGCTTCTATGTAATATAAATGGTGCAGAATTAACACTGTTTGTTCTAACAACTACGTTGTATAGTCTATATAATTTTGCTATTGATTTAATAAACTTATACCCATAATCTAGGCTTTGCAGCAGAAGGAAGAGGTAAGGCTACTCCACTGTATCAAATGTGTTCAATTCATCTAAAAAGAGAAGTGATGTTTTCTGCGTGATTAACTATATTTAATATTTGCTGCATGGAGTCAGTTAGGTACCTTCCCAGTATAAATGCCATTTGGTCATGATTTATATAATTCCCAATGAGTGAGTTTATTCCATTGATTAGTATTGTCAAGAGAATTTTAAGATCTTGACTGAACATCACTATAGGTCCAAAAACCCCAACACTGCTTTTACTGCTACGTTTAGACCCTGCTACTGTACAGGCAGTGACCCCTGATCCTGGTATGTCTCCTTCCTACAATATAGCATTTTATAATTGCAATAAATGTGGGATTAGAATGTCTGCAAAATGTTCATATGATTCCATTGCAAATCCACTAATCCAGTGGGCTAGTCTAGTTTTAGTCCTTGTAACAGTGCTTTAATGTCGTGTTCTGTTATTGGTTCATCTAACAGATCTTTTGATTGAAATGCACATTTCTTATAAACTCTTCCAGAACCTCTATCTATCCGATTTATCAAGTGTGTAGCTTTTCACAACATTATAAAAAGCACTCTGCATCATCTTTAATTTGATTTCCAGTATCCTTGTTTTTTTTAAGGCACTGGACAGTAGATGTGTTATCATTCTTGGACCAATCTGTTAAGATATATGTGTTCTGAATTTTATCAAAGTCTAATGATAATGCCATTGTTTGTTGTATTAGCACTCTCAACGTCGTCTTTGATCCCATTTTTTCCTAGAATCTGTATTTTTGTTTATGTATTCTAGTCTTCTCTCTGCTTGTCTTTTCTTGTGATTCCAACTGTATCAAATTTCTTCTAACAGCTTTTAGAGTGTCACAGAGGATCCATCCTCAGGTCTCAAGTCTGGTATTTCCTTTATAAAACTATCATACTAAATATTTATCTTGTCCTTGATATGTTATGTTGCTATTAATATTGGATTAAGTTTCCACAATGGGTTTTTTCTTTTTCTGTCTGGATTAGCCAGCATAGCTCAAGTGAGTCATGATCGGACTCCTGTACAGCATGAATCTTTACCCTTTTTATCTTGTGGGTGAATAATTTAGGCATGAGAAAATGATCAGT